TGATTTTTGTCTTCAGGAGGTCCGCGGTGGCCCAATTCCAATGTGGATCAGAAGTTTTCAGACTTTCTCCTTAGGTCTGGAATCTTCTAAGAATGCTTTTGGCCTTAGGAACTTGGGTATTGGACTGACCTGAGACCCTGGCCATGACCGCGCCACGCAAGGATGCAAAGACATATTGGGTGGGAAGAAGCCCCAAGATTTCCCAGGGAGTGGATTGAGTAGCTGGGTTGTACTGGATGCAAAGGATCAGGGAGAGTAAAGGTAGCCTCGGAGCCCCAGAAAGAGGCTGTCAGCCCCAGAAAGAGGCTGGCGGGTGTTGCAGGACCAGGGAAGTAAAGGGAGGTGAGAGCGGGGCCAGAACCAGAAGTGGTGCTCCTGGAGCCCAGGAAAGGGACTGTGTTGGTCTGGGTGAGAAGGATCAGGAAGCAGTATTGGTTCCCCAGGTGTCTGGGGTCCCAAGACTAGGAATGGCGCAGGGCCCAAACTAGGAGTATAGAAAGGCGGGGTTGGTATGGAAGGGTGAATGTGGCTTAGGGAGTCCGGGCTCGGAGGGCTGCACTCGTTGGTCTGGGTGAGAAGGATCAGGAAGCAGTATTGGTTCCCCAGGTGTCTGGGGCCCCAAGACTAAGAATGGCGCAGGGCCCAAACTAGGAGTATAGAAACGCGGGAGGGATGGAAGGGTGAATGTGGCTTAGGGAGTCCTGGTGTGGAGAGCTGCGCTATAGACTTACCCCAAGAGGCCTGAGGATAGTAGTGCCAATGATCGTTTTACATTTGAGAAACAGCCCATGTATATTTCTGATAATTGTTATAATTTTAAGCAGAACTGTAAATTAAGACAGAAATTGGCAACAATGTTGTATATAATTTTGGGTTCTTGGCTTTCCAGATTTCAAGTGATATTTTCTAAAATTTATTATTTTTATGTGTAAGAGTGTTATACCTGCATGCAGGTAAGTGTACCCATGTCATGCAATGCCCGGGGAGGACAGACGAGGCTGTCAGAACCCCTGGAATGGAGTTACAGACAGTTGTTAGCTGCCATGTGGGTGCTGGGAATCAAACCCGGGTCTTCTGCAAGAACAGTCAGTGTTCTTAACCATTGAGCCATCTCTTCAGCCCTTCAACTGATATTTTTATAATGCAAAAATATTGTAATTGAGTTATTAAGAGAGTGTAACTAAACTACAATGTAGGTGTATATTCAGAGTTAGCGGTATAAAGATACAGTGAAAAAAGCGTTTTAGATTTCTAAAAGCAGAATCTTTTATTTTGAAGGATACCATTCTTTTGCAAGTATCTACCATAAATAGAATAGTTTGAAGTGCCCATATGAAACAGGAGTTAAGAAATGATTTGTAGGATAGCTCTAGAGGTCTTTATTTTCCTCTTTCATGTGGAGTATATTTACTCATTTGCACATGTAGAACTTTTAATTTCTGTGGCATGTTTTCAGTTTCACACTGAGTCTGGAAGTTGACACAGATTCAAATCAGTAAACAAATAAAAGTTTCCTTTAAAAGCATCCAACAGAAAAAAAAAGTTTCTTTGAATTTTGAAAATTTTACCCCTGGAAAAAATATCCAGTAGGTCAGAGATATTCAGATGTTTAGCTAAGAACTTTGTGAGCCAATTTTATGTCAAAGAAAAGATAGCCATTGGAAATGAAGCTTGGCTATTCATACAGATGTATTCTCAAATCCTGATATCTTGATTAAATTTTATTCTCTATTCATCAAGTAGATATAAGAATATAGTCAGTATTTTAATGAGTGAAAATCTTTAGAGTTAAGTTTTATGAAGTCAGGTGGTCTGTCTTGTTCGTTACCGTATCCCCAGTGTCCAGCTGAAGCCCTGGCATCCATCAGAGTCTCAATAAAGGTGTTTTAAAATCACCACGAGAAGACAATAAACTGGTCTAGTGATTTAGCATCTAGTCACAGTGCTGCTTCCTAGTTAACATCTCAGCCAAACCATTTCTCTTTCTTTAATTTTAACTTTTCTCAGTTTTTTTGAATAAGAATTTCTTTTAAGCAATGAAAATTCTGTTTTTTAATAAAATATACTGGGCAATTATGCTGTTATATCTGAAATAAACTGGTAATTGTTAGCCTAAAATAGATTTTTCACAGACAATATATGAGGTCATATAATAAATGGAATGAAAAAGATTTCAAGATATTGATTTCATCTTATCACAGGGAAACATTACAGTACTAATTTCCCACAAAGAGTGTTTTCAAAGTACTATGAAAAAATAAGAGCTGGGAATTGCAGTTTCTTGAATTCATTTAAAGGGGATTATTGAGTCAGAGTTTAGAGTGAATTATGTCTTTTAACTGCATGGTATGGTTCCTGAAGTTTAGAGTTGAGACTGAGGGCAAGCAGGTTTAAGGGAACCTCCTAACACTAAATATGGTGGGTGAGTACATAAGACATATTGGCATATTATAAAGAAAGCCTCGTGGAGGTTTGAAATAAGTTTATCAAAGGTCATTGAATTAATGAATTATAAAAATGATTATATAAATTATATTACACTGATCCTCTTCAATTTCTCCTTATTTTAGATTTTTGGAAATACCACTGGGATAATTGTCCAAATAAAAATCCAAGCATTTGGAGTGGTGAGTAGAAGTACTAAGAAAATCAGTGTAAATGTTTTATTAGTAATTTATTAGTTATCACAAATATCTGACTACTGAATTAAGAAACTTGAGGTAATCATGTTCCTGTATTAATCAAGAAAATCAGAATCTTATCTGAGGAATATAGCTCAGATGCTCGCCTAGCTTGCTGGTGCCCTGGCTCTATATCTAGCATCCCGTAAAGCTGGCATGTTGGAACATTGAAATCCAACACTGGGAGGTTGACTCACAAGGACCAGAAGTTCAAGGTCATCCCTGGATACATAATGGATTCCAGGAAGAATATCAGAAAGCTAGAATCAGTTCCTATTTTTTGCTTTTTAAAAAATTGTTATCCTGAAATGTAAATCTAGCCGTTTAAATTTGTGAACTCTTTGTCACTTTCCTATAACAATCTGGCAAAATGCAACCTCTTCACTTAAGGCTCACAGAACCTAGAACAGGGATAATGAGGACACAAATGAATCTCTCAATTCTCGTTAATGACACTCCCTCATGCAACTGAAGGCCAGGAGCAGAAAGGTCACAAATGGCCAAAGTGCAGAGATCAAGAGTCTGTAGAATGCTGGTTCTTGGACAGGACTCTTATATTAAATTTCACCCACCCAGGATTCAGGGACCACTGAGAAAGAGGAGGCAGAAAGGTTGTAAGAGCCAGGGAGGAGGTGCATGACCATATGGAAATAGAGTCCTACAAACTCCTGGGACCCTGCTCATGTGAATCTGCAGCAATGGTGTCAGCATACACAAGTCCCATACAAACTCAAGCAGACAAAAACCCACTATAGAACTGGGGAAATGGACAGCAGACCCCAATCTTATCTGAAGAAATATTGACAACTGATTACTCCTAGGTGAGGAAGAGCTGATACTCCAAAAGTGAGGGACTAGAGATAAGCTGATAGACCTCAGTAGGTGAACATCTGGGGACTCTAACTTGACACAATAGGCCTTAACACAAATGATAGAATGTATGAATTCCATTGAGGGGGCTATGGGAGGGTGCTGGTAGGGAAGGGGTTATATAGATGATTAAGACTGATTGAGATGTTCTGTATGAAATACATAAAAATTAAATAAAAACAAATTTTGAAAAATCTGGCAAAATATAAAATGCCTGTAAATCAAATCATTTGGTACTATCAAACCAATTTTGCAAATTATATATAAGGATTGTATATAGAAATATACATATGAATCTTTTCTTCCAGGTGACTATGTGTTAATTTTCTTATGATCAAATTACAAAAAATCCTAACTTTGGGATTCAATGGAAACATAACTGATTTTTATATTTTGGAAAACTGATATTAATTTACTTTGGGGATTATGTTTATTAACAGGTATTCCTCAAGTGTGAGATATAAGGAATTAAGTCATTATTCTTGTTTATAATCACATGTAGATCTGAGGACTCTCGCCTTTGAAAAATGCTACTTTTGTCTGTGGCAGCCGCATTATCCACCAGATGGATGCTCTACTTACAAGAGGAATGTTTAAAATATTGATAACTTTGCATTTGATCTCTTTATCTAAGAGTTCCAAAGTTGCATTTTCTGTCTTTTTATTATACAGACTGTTATGTTCAGAGTGCATTAAATGTATTAAATGCATCTAACTACAAATAAAAACAAAACAATTATATTCTCAACACTTGACAAAGTAGTTAACCCTGTTTATGAACTGGGGCATGTTGTCAATAGAAGAACCCACAGTCCACTGTAAACAATTATGAATATGAGGGTGGTTTTGTTGTATCTATCTTCTTGCCTAACTCACCCAAAATATGAAATCTTGCTCTCACACATGTTCTATGTATGTGTGAAGTGGACCTTGACTTCATCTTAGTTCCTTCTAGGCTTTCCTTTTTCATCTGCAAAATGGGGCTAAAGATGACTATGTAGCTTATGAGGTGTCGCTAGGATTAAGTAGAGTCTATGAGTAAGGTGATTGAATGTCAAATAATACAAAGTTACTTACGTCTGATGGGTTTTTGTAAAGTCCATTAACACAGTTTTCTTTTGTGTACTTATTTGGACAACATGTCACTTAACTCTTCATTTGTTGTGATTCTTCAGTTAGTTTTTCTGTGGTTCCTGCGTGGTGAGAAACCTCAATATCTGTAGTAGTCATTTTAGATATTTTTAATATATTCATTTTTTAATATCACAGACCTTAAAACTTTCAATTCACTTAATTGAAAGTTTAAGTTAATTTAAAAGAAAGTTTAAGCATTAACATTGCTCAGTGTTGTAGTAGTAGCTTGTACTCAACTCCCTATAAGTGATCTACATCCCACAAGGCTCGTCTCTCTATACTTTTTGTTGTTGTTAAAAGAACTAAGTTTATTGATAGTTTGGAGTCATTGTAGCAACCCGCAGTTGCCAACTGGGAGCCAGGCTAGCATAGCCCTGCATCTGGCACATGCCCACTGTCCTTGGGCGACAGCATTGGAACTTGGAGAGTATCCACGGCCCTGTGCTCAGCCTCCTGAGAGGCCACAGGGAGGGCTGCATGGTGGTACACACCTGTCATCTGCCTCTCTGGGTGCCTTGCCCATACAAGATCACAGAGTGATCAGCACCGTGTGGGCTCAACTACTTCAAGACCATTTTCTCTGCCAGGTCCCCAGCACCTCCATTGGCTAGGTACTGGGACATGAACAGCATGTTCAGACCTGGGACATGAACAGCATTCCAACAGTACACTGCACTGGTGATGGTACCCACCGGTGTTTCTATACTTCTTACTCCTGTAACTTAGCACTTTATATTAATAACTTTAAAACTAGTGCATGAATCCAAGTGGATCACTTAAGGCATTATAAGAATTTGTACAAGACTTTCTTATCTTTGTTCAGTCCATCAAATATAAAAATATAGAATTTACATAATATGTTGGTTTATGATGAGGTAAGATTTTTCAAGTTAATGTTTGATAAGGTTTACTAATTCCTCTTTGACAAATGGCTGTCACTGTTACCAATTTAATGAGTTTTCAGTTTATAATCTTTATTGAATTACTATTTTATGCCATGTTCAGTATTCTATCCTATCCTTAATAGCCTGCATCAAAATCCCATTGACTGCATACTTACATCTATCCCAAACTCTTCTATTTATTACCTTAGATGCACAAAATAAAATATGCTTGATGACTTTTTCCATAAGCCCCCAGTTACTTATATGTTCCTTTGCTTTGTTTCTCACCCATATGGCCATCAGAGTTCTTCCTGAAATTTATATAAAACTAGTTAGCTTTAATTGTCAGCTAGACACACCTAGGACTACCTGGGAAGAAAGTGTAAATGAAGAATTATCAGGATTGTGGGGCTGGAGTGATGGCTCAAGTTATGAGGCTGTCGGCTTTTGCAGAGCAACTAGGATTGGTTCCCAGCATGTACATGGTGGCTAACAACCATCTGTAACTCCAGTTCCAGGAGATCTGACACCCTCTTCTGATTTCTGCAGGTATTGCACTACACAGGTACACTTACACACATGCAGGCAATATACTCATACACATAAAAAATATATTACAATAAAATATTAAAATAGAATTGTCTGGATTGGGGTGGCCTGTGGGCCTGCCTATGAAAGGCATTCTTAAATTCCCATTGAGGTGGGAAGCCCCACTCTGAATGTGGGCAGCACATTTTCATGGGTTGAGTCTCGAACTGTATAATTGTAGAGAGGGACTGGAAATGATGCAAGTATGTATGCTTTCACTCTCTCTCTCTCTCTCTGCTCTTGACTGTGGATATGTTGTAACCAGCTGCTTCAAGCTCCTTCCACTGTGATTTCCCCACAATTGTGGACTATTACCTACAATTGTAGGTTAAAGTCAACCCCTTTCTTTCCTAGGTTTCTTTATGTCAGAGTCTTTTATCATAGCAACAGAAATGAAACTTGGAGATATAGAATATGATAGTTACATATTTATGAGTTTGCCTTTTCATAGTTAAATTACTTAGCATGTTACTGAGTTTTATTCTCAACTTGTCAAGTTAAGCTCTTCCTGATCTATTTACCATTCCTGTCCTCATTTTCCCAAATCTGATCCCATTTAATCAATGAGTATGATGAATTCTTCATATTCAAGCACATAGATAATGTATATTCATCATTAGTTTGAAAAGAATAAGATATGATTTTAAAGAAGTAGTTTGTGAGTTCCTACATGGGTCAGATGGAGAAGATACTGTTTAGTTTGATTAACTTACAGATATCCTTGAAATTTTGTATCAGAGGAATGATTTAGAAGCGGAGTTCATATAAGTGATTCAGATGTGGTCTAATCTACATTATGTTTTCTATAGTAAGAAAAAGTTAGAGATGATTAACACTCTGGGACAAAAGTTCCCATAATTAAGTAGTAGTTTGTGTCTTGAGAAGAAATTAAGAGAACAGTGAACTATAACTATTACCTGGCATTATCAGGTATTACCAATTGAGTATTCTCAATAGACTTTAAAATAGTTTTATGCATATACCACTAAGTATATGCATAATATAATCCTACATTATGCCACTAATCCTATACCACTAAGTATAATATTATCTCTTTTTGAGATCTTTATATTGAAGTATTTCTGAGCTTATGAATTTCATGGTTTTGAAGCATGCAATTGGATATTTGATTATATAACACAAAAGGTAAGACCGATCTGGCTAGGAATGTGCATCAGATGCCATGAAAGACTGGAGATAGAGAGACTGACCTCAGATGGAAGGAATTCAACAGGGTCTTCACAAAAGTTGGCTCAAAGGCATTTGGAATTTTTAGACTTCAGAATATAAGAAGCAACCAACATAAGTTCTCCATATTACATTTTTGATAACTGAAAAACTTTAAACAATGTTTTATGTCTTTACAATTATTCTTTTAAGTATTTTTTGCTTAGTCTTAATCATTTCTTTCCAAATGTCAAGCTATATTATCTTTTAATGCTGTGATGTATAGTATTCTACAAACATTGC